GTGATTCAACCACCGAGGCTTCAGTCAAGGATTTCCACCAGGTTTGTGTCATAAACCACCGGTTCTAAAGATAACGTTCGAGTGCGAACGCCGGCATTTATTAGGAATGAGCCGCGTGGTGGTGGTGGTGGTGGTGGTGGTGAACTGGTGCAGGTGGCTGTGGTGAAGAGGCATCTGAGAGCAGGAGATGAGGGAACCTCTTTGTCTGTATCTGCTGTGACATAAAGAAGACTCTGTGCCGAAGGGAATTCATTAAGGCAGCGGGTTTGAAATACAGAGATGAAAGAGCCCAGACACACACACACACACACACACACACACTGAATGTGCCAACTTTGACTCCACTGCACTGTTTGTAATCTGTATCTTTTAAAGAGCTCTTCATTTAAAGTAATAGTTAAACACCACAGATCAATACCACAGCTCTGTCTGTGTGTCTGTGTGAAGCTGTGACCAACAACTGTCAGCTGAATTAATTTAAAAGAAAATGCTTTTAGTTCCCGTAGAGCTCATGGCATTTACTGAATCCATGCAGAAATACAAGTAGGAGTCAAAAAGTCTGTGTTATAATTTGAAAAAAACAAAAAACAAAAACACAATTCTGAATTTAATAACTTCAATTTGCTACCTACTCCAGCCAGAAGGTGGCAGTAATGTACCTAAAGTTCATTTGCCAACCAAAATTAGATGCACAAGAAAGTTTGCTGGCAATCAAAATAATTAGAATTAAAACAAAAATCACCGTTAATTACTCAAGAAAAAAAATAGTTAATTTCAGTCTCATTCCTTGAAGTTGAACGCGCCTGTTAATTTACCATTTATCCAATATGGAGCACCTGATCAACTTCACTTTCCATAATTAATAATAAAGAATTTTATATATATATATATATACATATATATATATGTATATATATATATATATATATGTATATATATATATATATATATGTATATATATATATATATATGTATATATATATATATATATACATATATATATATATATATACATATATATATATGTATATATATATATATATATATATCAATATATGTATCCGGTGAGGTGACCTCATTACACCATGAGATCAATTTCCTCCCGCAGCCTCATGGAGATTAGACTCATTTACATGGCTTCAGCTGTGACTCCACGTGACGTCAGGGTCTGGATCGATACAGGACAGGAGTGGTGGGTTTTACCTCCCAGAAGCTGTCCATGGTGTCGTCAACACCTGCACTCTCATCGTAGGAGCCAGACATTTTGCTGGATGTGGCAAAGCACTCTAACGATGAAGCCTGTCCTCTGCAGCAGAACTGGGTTCTTCATGCACTGAAAGAGAAACAGAACAACAGTCAAAACACATCACTGACAAACATCAGAATGATAGTCTTCAGTTTTTATCAGATTTTTTGTTTTACAAAACTGTGTGGCGGGACTCTCCTGGGAGACCCCACAGCACTTTGAGTATCAAAATATTTTCTTTTTTACTTGTTTGAGCCAACCTAAAAGAGGTCAATGGCAACAAGGTAATATAAACCAACAGTTTATATTACCTTGTTGCCTTTATCTCCAATAAAAGAAAATAGTTCCTAAAAAATGATTCTAGAAGCAGAAAACACATTCCTTGGCACTTGTTTGGAGACTATTGGAGAAACTATTCCTAAAAGATTTTTCTTTTTTATTTATATTTATACTGTGAACCATAAAGAGCAGCGGCCAAAGACATAACCCTGTAAACATTGTACCCCGGCCAAGCTGGCCTGAGTGCAGTATTCTAAGAACAGTACTGCATTATTTTTGGCAAATGGACGGAAACGTCACCCAAAGAGTCTCTGTGCGAGACCTATATAATACTGCAGTATAAAAAGCACCCTTTGTCATAAATACTCTCTAGCACTTTGCCCTAGGCTACCAGTTGGTGACATATTTTATTGTGTCCTAGAAAAGATGCTGAGCATCTCAGTGGCCTGACCCTGAATCCTTAGTGGAGACAATTTCAGCCTCCAGTGGAAACTCCTTCAGTACAAACAAAGACATGTACTGGCTACATTAAAATAAATCGGTACCAACATGCTAATCTTCTTTAATGGTGTGGTACAGTCACATCTCACTCTCTATCGCTACATTAAAATACACCGTTAAAAATAAATCTGTACCAACATGCTAATCTTCTTTAATGTTGTGGTACAGTCACATCTCACTCTCTATCAGCACCGATTACGGTCCCTGCTGGACTCCCTGGAGCATTTCAAGTGATTTAAATTTATTTGTTTGACATCTGGTCGATACCTTACCACCAAGGTTAAAAGAGAAGAGGCCGCTTGTGACGCTACGTCGGTATCGAACCCAGTTGAAGCCTAATCCATTTTGCTCCCATGACTAATGTCTTTTCCCTTGACAGAGAGCTCTTCATTTCACAGCGAGAACCGATATGACGGAGCGATGTGTTCCTCTGTGTCTGGTATCAATCAGACGCTGACACAGTTTGTGTTTTTCTTAATAAAGAGCATGGCGCTGCCGTCACTGTTACTAAATCTAAATGAAGTGTAAACTGAGAACGGTAGCCGGAGGTCAGCGCTGAGGAACGTGACTCTCCAAAATGTTGCATTATGGGAAAGGTCTGAACTATTCCTTCTGCAAAGGTGGTTCAAATACCAGCAGTATCCTCCATGATCCATGGTTCTGTCCAACATTTCTCTGGAGTGGACTTCATGGCTGGACTGACTGAGCAGTCACAGCAGAGCAGGCCTCTACATCTGCATCATGACAGCATAATTGTAATAATCTCCTGGGAGAATTTCTACCTGAATATCAGCTATAAGACTTAAGAGGTTTTTTAACACAATGCTGTGTTTTTCCTGCT